GCCCGCCGACGCAGGGCGCACGGCACCCTCCCGGCACTCTTCGGGCAAGCGGGGCGCGCTTGGGGGTCGGGGGGCGAGGAAGACTCGCGCGGAGGGCCTGCCACCTGGCGCCCCAGCACGGCACTTTTTGGGAACGAGGCAGCCCAGCACACCTGCCCCAGGTGTTTGCTTGATGCCGCCTGTCGGGCCCCCCGTGGGGCTTGGCAGCGCCACCTGCGCCCCGGGGTCAGGTAGCTGGAGACAGTCCAGGTCCCTCGGGTTGCTTGGCAGACAACGCCGAGCCCTTCTTGTTTCTTTCTGCTTCTCAAATGGAGAAATCACCTGCATCTCCGGGTTTGCTTGGCGCGAGCAGGTTTGGGTCATCTGCTCCCCGGTGATCTGTAAGCAAGCGTTGCCTTAAGCGTTGACAACAGTGCACGTTGGTACAGCTGATGGCAAATTAGATCTCAAGTGATACCCAGTGTCTTCAAACCTCCCGAGATGTTCGGGAAAACCGTGTAAAGCTTAGCTGACACTTGTGGACTTGTGGTGTTTCCTCGGCGTGTTTTTTTTTCCCCCTTGGAATCCAGATGGTTAACATTGTCCAGATAATAAGCTGCCAAGTCAGCTGTGCAGATTGGAGGGTGGAGGGAATTCCGGTGATTGGAATTAGAAGGGGAAAATACCTGTAGATTCCTGCCATGGTCCTTTTGGAAGGCTGCTTTTAAGGACCCTTTTCTTTTTTCTCTTCTGCAATTGGCATATCTCGGATATTAAAGGAAGGATGATCCTCTATATTGTGTCCAGCTAATGTTGTAATATCACTGGAGCCTTACAACTTTGTTCTAACAATTTACAGCAGAAATGTTAACGTCCTTGAACTCTGTAAAGGGTAGTCAGAGAGTCTTAGACTTAGAGTTGTTGGGTTCACTTTGTGTGGATCATTTGTTCATCCATGCTGCATTCATTTTTGTTTTAGGTGTGCAGGCGGTTGGGAATTATAGAAGTGGATTATTTTGGACTACAGTTTACTGGTAGCAAAGGTGAAAGTTTATGGCTAAATCTGAGAAACCGGATCTCCCAGCAGATGGATGGGCTTGCCCCTTACCGGCTTAAACTGAGAGTCAAGTTCTTCGTGGAGCCTCATCTCATCTTACAGGAACAGACTAGGTAAAGTGATGCTAACGTAAACCAATGTCGAGCAGACTTTAGAGTCCATTTAAAAGGGCTGTTGCACCTTCGAGGCAAATTTGTTTTGATAGAGCATTAGTTCATAATTAGTTTTCCACAGCATAGTCTTAAAATGAGGAGCTATGTAGTTGGCACGGGGTGCATTTTCCAGTTCTCCTTGTGGGTTGTTCTTGTCTTTATAAACAATTTGAAAACGGGGTTGAATTTTCTTAGAAAATTTGAGATTAGGACCACAACACACAAAAAGGGTGGGAAATCCAACTGACTTCCTGATAGCAGCAGCATCTAATGCCCGATAGTAACCTCTGTCTCAGCAATGCTACTATAGGTCACTGTGGACTGTTTTAACAGAAAGCAGGAAACAGTTCCTCTTGGGTTACTTAAACTTGGTCCACTTCTTCGGTCTAGTGTCAGATTACAATGTGCAGCAAAGAACTCCATGGAAGGTAAGGCCGAATTTTAAAAGATTTTAAGTTTCATGAAAACTTAGTAAGAAACTACTTTTAAGGCCAGTGTAACCAGAGTCCACCCTCAGATCTAATACATACGATTGTTGAGTTTAGATTGCTGAATTTATCTCTTTACTTATAAAAAACCACCACTAGTGGTAGACAGCTGAAGCATGTGTTTTCCTTTTTCAAATGGAAAATAATTTCTTCCTTGGACTAATCTTTTTCTCAAGGATGAGCCAGAGTAGGAAGCTAGTATTTAATATGAATTGCTGAAATGCAAGAGACCTAAATTTTATAGTTGCATATTAAAAAAATGAAAACTGAGTACTTCTAAACACAGCAAACTTTAAGTTCTGTTTTTCATAATCCTTTGGCTTGGAAATTTGCCATATATATATAGAAAATGTGAGTGAAATTTTTGCATAATGATAAGTAAACAGTACCTTTTAAGAATTTTTAGCATGTCTGTTTTGTTTGTTTACCAGAGGATTTGTAGAAACATGTTTTGAAGTACTATTTATTTGAATTTGAAATGGCCTTGTTTGGAGCTTTAAGATAAAGGAAATGTTCAGTTTTGTTTCTGTGGGCCGTTTATATAGTGAATTCTTAGTACTCCTGAAAATGTAAATATTCAAATGATTGCATGTTTAAGAATGTTTGGGTCCCTTGTTTAATCAGAATAGATTGGCATTTTCTGGTTTGGTTTTTTTACCCTTAAAGCTGGTTAGTGGAAGCTTCCACTCTGTGCTTCCTATGATAACCTGAAATTGAGTAAGAGGACAAATATAACAACATATTGGAATTTGCATTGTGCAGTCTTATCGTGATTTTGCAATCTTCCAAGCCTCTGGATGCAAACCTACTTTGTTATGATACAAATGTAATTTTTAAATCTGCAAAAGCTTAGAGGACTGAATAAATAATTTAAACAATGACTGCAGCCATGATAGTTGAAAGCATTTGTATTATAAATGCATACAAACTTTAAAAGTTGCTACTATATGGTCTTTACCAGTGCTTTCTGGTAATTGAGTTAATAACTATTATCTGTTCTATTTTATTCATACATGAAATAGAGACATTTTATGAATTAAAACTGGAATCAAATTTCCTACTTTATTGACTCAATTGACTTTGACTCTTGAGATTCATGCCTAATAGCTCTTGAAGAATGCATACACCTAGTTAACTAGGTAATTGCAATTGATTTTAATTCCTTTTTGAAATCTTGCTGAAGGATTCATGTGAGCTAAACTTTTGACTTGTTTTTAAAATGACTGGTGAATTTTTCTTGTTTTGTGGGGTTCTCTGAAAAACAGAATTTTAAGGAAATGGCACCTACAAGTTTATACAGCATCCTGTTTTAATAGCTAGATAAAGTGGTTTATAATTAGCATTTGCATCTTTTAATTAGGATCAGAAGTTATAATTGGTCCAGCTTAGTTACAATTAGCATTGTTTCTCAGTGGTGCTCATAGAACAACAATAATTGTCTTTCCTAATGGTATGTTAGCAAGATAAAACTGGCTTGATAGATTTTTTAATGTATATTTGTCATAAGATATTTACAGAAAAGGCTGTGAAAATGAAATAGACCTGTTTATGTAGTGAGTAAACTCAGCTTTCCCAGTGTGGTTATGAGAGGTGATTTCTTACTGTCTCTGAGTCATGAGGGAATATTTTGTATACTCAAAGTATCACAGTTTATTAAATGATGACTAAATGTCTTGGCCAGGTTGTCCCTTGGACAGTCAGAGTAGCCAGCTCATAGGAGGAGCTGGCCTGTCCGGGGTGGGAGCAGCTAATGTGTTAGTTTGCATCTGATGACATGTAAGAATGAAGGCAACTTGAAGGTAGGTAGGCGCCTAGGCCTGCCCTGCCTAGGCGCTGAATAAATAACTGGGGACCAGGCAAACTCTGCTTAACCACCAATATCAGCGTGTAGTGCAGACTTCAAGGTGAAGCCCAGCTCTTTATCACTGGTAACTCCGCAGTGTTACCAGTGGATCTGCCTGTTCTGCTCCTCACTCTGTCTCTGGTGAATCTTCTCACCCCATCCCTCCCTCCCCCTCCCCGCACATCCCTGACATGTACCCCAGCTCTTATATGCACAAATAAGTTCTTAAAAAAAAGTTAAAAGAAAAAAGAAATTATTTCTAAACTCTTTTAGCAATAGACTTTTTTCCTTTGCTTTTGCTTCGTGTATGTGGTATTTTCCATAATGTTTGCCTAAATACATTCCTCTGAAGACAGGAAGCATTCAGATGTCTGCCTGGTTTAGTAGATAGAGTTAATCTGATTTCTGCTTAGACCTAATTGTGGATTTGGTTCTTTATTATTATGTTTTCTCTGGAATGAGAGTCTGGACAATAATGGGAGAGTCTTGTTTAGACTGGCTGAGTGTACAGATGGAGACAGCAGGTACTTTCAACATAGGTTTGCCATGCTATGATTAAAGCTAAAAGTGAAATTAATGTATTCTGGAAATAGATCTGAAATAGTAATGAGCTTTGAAAGTGTTGCCTTTCAAGGACTCTTAGTTATTCACAGCAATTCAGGTAAGATTTTTGTCAACAATTTCAAAACCAGAGATTAGAGAAGTATATGCTGCAACTTCAGAGATGATATTTATACCATCCACTGCCAATAAAATCTTTTTCTCCTGATCTTGCCATAGTTTCCCAGAGCTGTGTGGTCTTTTCAGGGGTAAGTCAGCTTAGTTGAGACTCACCAACACCTGGATTCTCTTCCCAGACTCACCAACACCTGGATTCTCATCCCAGTTTAGGCATGCGCCTGAACTAACTGTTGAAGAAAAATGTTGTGATTGTGAATGCTAAACCCTCCACAAGGTTTTGGAGATGTGCAGAGTTTGACTGGTCCCCAGTTAAGTCACCCTGTCCCCTAACCTCAGCCCATCATCATTCCTGGAGAAAGCTTTCTCTAGCCCTGCTGGGGAGACTGAAGTCTCCCAAGATGTCATGTAGCTTTCTTAACAGCATTAATGAGCGTAAAACACTACATTTACTTGTGTGACAATTTGTTTATTGTCAGTCACTCTACTACTCTATAATCCTTTAAGCAGGGAACTGATCAACATTGTATCCCCAGAGTCAAGCACATGTCTGGTGCATAAATGTTTTGAATCAGCAATTAAGAACTTGGAAATAAATTAACATGGAGCTGATACTAAAAATGTAAATTTTCTCACAGACATTGTTTTCCAGTTTGTTTCTATACACTGAAAAGTTGAGACACCTAAGAGAAATAAATCTCACCATTAAAAAATGCTTCCTAACAATCACTGTCTGCTAAGAATTTGTTCAGTGCTCAGCATTCTTTTGCTTCCTTTTTTTCCTTCACCTTCTTCACCCCATTTGTTCATTTCTTATCTCAAATGCACTTCTGTTTGCCTGGATCTTTTTTAAAGTTCACATAATTTTCAAGATATGGTAGCACTTTACCTAATTCCAACCAATTTGTGACTCCTAAGTCCTTACTAAAGTCATTTTTTCCTATCTCCCAATAAAAATCATTTAGGCATGTGAAAATCCAGAGAAGAGGCATTATAGAGCCAATGCCATGTGCAGATTATAGGGAGATAAAATGTGATAATCTCAACCAACTCAGAGCTGATTCGCATTGGTCCTAATCGTGTAATACCTGTAATCATGTTTTGAGTCTTTAAAACAGTATCACTTACCTTTGTGTGGTTTAGGCAGGTTAAGTACAATACTGTTGCAACAGTACTTATTATAGAGATGTCATTTATGTTCCTCAGATCAGCTGCATGTTTCAGATCAGAATGAAACCTTTTTGCATGCCCAAACACAGAATTGGCCCCAGGACAGTTTCACAAAGATTGATACAAACATAAATATGAATTGGCAAAAAAAAAAAGTACTAAGTTTTGAATTCTAATTTGTATTCTTTTTTTCTGATTTGCTGAGAATATAGGATACTTGTGTCCTGATATGTTTATTTTAGCCACAGCCTCCCACCTGGAGACCTTCAGCCTCTTTTCGAATTTTAAGTACTTTACCTACTTGTACGAGGTTGAAAGAGCCTTGAGATAGTGATTTTTAAGTTCAGGGAGATGAGCTTCTAATCTTGAACTATATTCCGTGAAATCTGAATATTTAGAAGGCACATAGGGTCAGACTCCTCACAGCACACACCTCCAGGCCAGCAGGTATGGTCATTACCTGAGCCACGTCCTCTGCATCCTGACCTTTCCAGACCTGGTAGCAGCCTGCTGATCTAGATTGTTGAGCAGGAGGTTGGAGTTAACACTCCAAATGACAGGATTGCCTGGATTACTGTTTACCAAGGATAGCTACTGAGTGAATAATTACATTTTTTTAGAGGTGCGAATTTTCTGCTCTCAAGTATTCCTCTGGTGTAGATTGCAATGAATTTGAGGCTGGGAATTTCCCTCCCCATTGTGCTTCATAATTTTAACCTGCGTGGCCTCTGAGGAGGAGCAAATTGACCAGTGATTCCTGTTTTGTATTTTGGGGCTGAGAA